TTATTCGGTGAAGTCACCTTTTAACTAAAAAGTATATATGTATATATATATATATATAAATTTTTCATTTATATTTGTTTAGAAAAAAAGACTTTTTCCTATCAAAATAGCACTGACAAAAGTTAACATTTCTTTTCAGATATATCAGACTCATCAAGCACAACAACAACAAATCTTTATCCTGCAGAAGGTAAAGTTACATTCTCCCTTTTTATTAAACAATGTTTTTAATATTCCTACATTATGTGTTTCAAAAACATGCTGCATAAACATTACATAGTATGTAATAATGCTAAAGGGTCTTATTTCTTTATTCTTTCCGTATTTTTTCTCTTCACAATTGCTTCTTATTAAATTAGAGTCTTTCTCTTCTTAATGAAATTGAGAAACGATGATATTTTCTAGACATTTAATTTTTATTTACTCTATACCGTGATATCTAATTATGTATTTTTTCAACAGAAAATCATAAGCAAAAATTGCTTTTATTCACTTAAATTAATAATATTAATTAAATTGAGTGATAAATTACTTTAATCACTTTAAATGAAAGAAGGAAATTTAAAGAAACACAAATAGAATTTTGCTAATGATAGAAGTATGAAAAAAATGGACGAAATGGTTATTGTTATTGATTTAAGATAAGTTCATATTAAATTTTTATTTCAGCAATCCTAGTTCGTTGAACAGAAATATATATGTAAATATTTTTGTGAATTTTTTACATTAAGGCTTCATTATTATAATACTCATTAAGGCCTCTCATTTCAAGGATTTTCCATAATATTTACTTTTTTTAAAGAATACTTAGTAACTAATCTTTGAGCTGTTATGTATTTACTATATTTAACACGAACAACATATTTTGAATCAAAAGATAGCAATATTTGTTTCGAATTAAATCTGCCTTTAGCTAATTAAATATTTTTTTTTATATTGTGTAATATTAAACTTAGAAGTGAATTAATTTGGAAAAAAAATCTGTAATAAAAATAACTTATAATAGGGAATTTTTCAAAACTTCATATTTTTAATTAAAAATTAATTTTATAAGTTAGTAAAAAGCAAAAGCTTAAAAAAGTTGGCTACAATTTTATTTAGTAGTTAGAAAGATTATGACCTGCAAAATAAGTCTTTCTTTTCAAGAACACTTTTTTTGTTAGTTTGGAGTCATTATGTAGTAGAATGTAGTGCCATCATGTGTCTAAGTGCACCAATATAAGTTTATTAACTTTTTACCCGTAACTCAGTATTAAAAATTACGTTAATCATGAATTTTAATTATCAAATAGAAAGCATATTTTTAATTTACATTTTGATATGTTTTCCAAACGTAGCTTCATAAAATTTCAAAAAATATGATGCTTGGAATATTGTTAATTTTATATTTTTGAAAAATATCGTGAGATGAAATACATTTGCCATTCGAAAACATTAATTTACGTAAAATTATATAATTTTATGAAGGACTATTTTCGCGATATAATAAATACACTCATTTTTCTGATTATTCCATTTAGTGGATTTGATACCAAAAAGGAGACCATTCGTCTCCATCTTTTAACAATGCCATCTATCGATATAGTAAAGTAAATCTGTTAATTTCAATTTTTAATTAAATATCATTGAATATAATATACATAAATATTCCATTAAACGTTTGAAGAATTGCGTTGATATCTAAAGTACATCGCAATGATCTTAATGATTGTAATTCAGAACAAAAACGTAGCAAATAGCTATACTGATGTCTTTGAAATTTAAAATATTCTCAGAAACGCTTTATTTATTGCCTTAAATAATGTATTGTAATATTTACTTCAACCAAATTATTTGAATTTCTGAGACGCTAATGTAAAATAGCAAGCATATTTCGAGTTCGAAAATTCGCACTGATTTTTAAATTGAATAGTTAAATTATGAATTTAAAGTGAATATTCTATAAGACAGCTGCGTTGGTAAATCGGTTTAATAAAGAATAAATGCTATGTATTAATCATAATGTGGTATTAATTAATTTAGCTAATTTTGACTACCAGATTTGTTTGTAACCATATTAATATGCTATGGTTTTCAGACACAAATTCACAACTACAGGATGGAATTTTAAAAAGCCAAAGAAATGCACACAACCAATCATACTCATATCCACCTGCCAGTGCACAAGGTATTTGAAGTATTTTAACTGCTCATCAACGTCTCTTTATTTTAAAATTCGAAATCAAATTATTTTTGACGTACAAAATGTTATTACTATTTACCCTATGAGTCTCATTTTATTCGTACGCCAAAGTGATAAATAAGTTTTATTTTGTAATAAAATATATATATGTTTTTAATATATGAATTTAAATTGGAAGCAAATAATACTTAAATTACTTTAATGCTTCTTTAGGGCATGATAAAGAAATAACGTATCTTAAATACCTTCATATTCTAGAAAATGTCTTTGATATTTAATTTTTTGAAGTAGTATATCTCTTTAACATCATGAATTTGAACTAAAAATAAAATGTCAATATTGGAAAATAAAAAAAAGTTAAATAGCATTGCTTTTTCAAATAGATTTAAAATTGTTTAAGAAATGCAGTTTGAAACATTACATATCAAAGCGTTCAAGAAAATGCCTCCATTCAAAATAAATAAATAAATATTATTTTTTAATTATTTATTTAATTAAAAAAAAGATAATTGATTTCAATGCAGCACGATTAGCTTCTTTTAGCAAAATTTTCCGAAATTTTTGAAATATATTCTAGAGAATAGAATAGAGAATTAGAGAATTCATGCTTCTGAGATGCGAAAAGAATCCCATGAATGAAAAGCTCAACGCGTAAAATTTGTACATGGACTATTAAAAGCTCTAATTTACCAAATTTACAAAATTTAATGGGGGTTAAAATCAAGTTACTTTTTTAAAAATTGTATATTGAATGAGATATTTCTGAGGAATTTCTGATGATTTTTTTGCAATATTTTTATTTCCTGAAACAGTAAAATACGAAATTGGCAAAGGGACTCATGCGGCATAACCGTGACACGGAATGACGCTATTCACGGTGGTAATTAAATTGTCATTGTATATTTTGTCCCAAATTTCTTCGAACTTTGATTCTATCTACGATGATCGGATATGATTTGAAATTCATAACTTTATCAACTTTCATCATTTTTTCATCAAGTCATCACACAAATCCTCAAATCTGTGCGGAATTCTATATCTTTCACATGTTCTTGCTAACGTCCCAAGACGAATGTGAGGTGTGACAGACGTGAGGTGTCTTTTGAGCTACCAGTAAAAGAACTCTTCAGTTTATCTCGAATTAAAGCATATTTAACGCTTTCGCATAATATGCATCCTGTGAAAATTCAAACTTGAGCTGTTGTACTAAACTGTCTGCTAAATTTTTCAAGCAGTCTTCTGCAAAACGAGGGGAAGTGAATTCCACTCTTGTCAAAAATTCTTTTCAAAACAAAATAGCCACCACTCATATAAAATTTCCTGTTTATTGTAATCTAAAGGCCTTGGATGTTTTTAGCGTTTAAAGTTTTGATCTGTAAACAAAACTACAAACGTATCACTATGTATTTGGATTCGGAAGTAATCTTCAATGCAATGATTTGGCAGACAATCAAAGAATGATAAGAGTAAACGCTGGGAAATTTGCTAGTCATATTTCATTTAATGTAAACCTATGTGAATATCTTTTTATCCAACAAGAGTTGTCGCCGTAACTCTTCTTTTTGAAATTGTTTCTGTTTTCACGGGCTTTGAACAAATTCTGGTACTTTTCATCATCACATTATGTTTGTTACCTTTCTTTAACGTTTACTGATGCCTCGCCTATTATGTTGGAACACTCAAACTCCTCAATTCTATTTTATGAGTAACTACGTTTGTTAATTTTTAAGATTTCACTAAATTCTTTGAGGCCTTCTGGTTGGGGGCAGGGAATCTTTGGATCTTCGTACGCGCGGAGCCCAACCTACATCAACCAGGGTTTTCCCTGGAGTTGCTTCTGCTTTCCTTGCCCGTTTTCCCGACGTGTTGTCATGAATCGCCACCAAGCCTACCTTTTTGAATCCTCTTTTTCTTTTGCTGAGAGGTCACGTGCACGCACTCAGAGTCTACAGTATTCTCCGGATGTGCCCTCACGGGTGGCGGGACGGGGTTAAGCTGTGATCCAACAAGAGTTGGATCACAGCTTAACGTAGTTTTTTTGACAGAATTAAAACTATTATTACTTTTGAGAGAAATGGAGATGGGGCATAAAAATTCGAAAAAAAACTCACGTGTCATATGTTAGTTCACATGCCACTCTCGGAAAATAGTGCTTTTCGACTAACGATTATTTTTTGCAACTCCCTACTGCATACCTAAATTGACTGACATTCGAAATTTCACATTTTAAGTAATAGTGGGCATATAATTAGGTTAATTGTTTGTTATTTTGTTTCTAAAAAATATTGAAGTATTATGAAACTAAATATATACTTTTAGTTTTAATAATAGAAAATAATAATAATAGTTGAAGACGAATAAAACTTGAAGACATGCATGGAAAAATATAAAAAAAATTTTATCAAGTAAATACTATTTCTGTTTAAATTCATTTTCATACATTACTAAAATAAGAAAAAAATATTTGATTCAATTTCTATTTTTAATTTTTTTTACATTATTTTATATTATTTAAACAACATAGAATTATGAATACCTATTTTTGCTCATTAGAGACAGGAGTAAAAATATATTTCATCACGATTTTTTTATAAAGTTGAATTTTCTGACTCTTCAACTTATTTACCAGAAATAAGGAAAACTAATTTTATGAATGTTTAACTGGACTTACTTTTAAAAAATTAAAGTCAAATTGCATTTAAATTATATTTAATTAGTTTTATTTACGCTCATCTTTTGTAATGTGAAAATTTGTGATATTTATAAACATTATTTAAATTAGACTCATTTCTAAAGAGAGATAAGAGTTAGTTTACATTTTTTATCGTATATTTAAATACATAGCCGCTATATATTTCTTTTTCCACACAATTTAATTTTTTTCATTAATATTTCTTTTTTGGTTTAATTTTAGCTTCTATATTCCATATGTGGGTTAGTTAAAAATAAATATTATTAAAACAATTTTAATTACTATTTTGTTATGGAAAGATACTATAATATTTCGTATCGTAAATAATGAATTGAACAACAAAATGGAGCTCCTTTTTTATGAATCAAATTATCTGTTGCTTTTGCTTTTTTCTGAAATTAAACACTTGATTTTTTTTCAATATTTTCTTTTAATTGCCATATTTTCACCATTTACATTTTTCGTTTAACTTTCTATTTTATAGCTATTTTCATTCAAAAGAATATTTTTCGTTAATTATTTCTGAACCTTCTTTAAAAAAATTATAACAAATTCATTTTTTAAGCGTATATTGATTAAAAAGGTTAAGACACACTGATATCATGTAAGGAAATAATCTGCTAAAGTCAGAAAACAAAACTAAGCAAGTAGACTTTTGTAAGATAAAAAACGAAAGAAAGTTTTGTTTAAAATTTTAAGAGGAACAATTATTGAAATACAGATAAAAAGACATACAAAAAGTAGCAAAACACGCAAATTGTACTTTAAAAATAGTGCATTCTTTATTTCGTAGCAATATATTTTTTAGATTAAAATAACAATGTTTAATATATACGATAATAAACTCTATATGCACATATAATGGATACTAGTTATTTAATAAAATCATTCAATTGAATATATTTACAATATAATCTTACATTTTGAAATATGTGCATATCTAAAGAGCTTAAAAGGAATAGAATGTTTTATCAATTCATGTTAATTTATTTTAATAAAATTCAAATTTCATACAAATCCTCTTTACAGATACAATATTCAGCGATACAGTTGCAGTTCTCCCATCATTTACTGTAATAACCATTATTCTGTATGCTCTGTCCGTCGTTTGATGTATATGTTTGATGTATATGTGACGACAGTCGAAACGCTCAATACACAAATAACACTATAGTGTTCAAGAAGATTGGATACGATATTGAACAATCTTCCAATTATGGTGCAGAAAAATCGAAAACATATTCATTGTTGCCAAAGAATGCTGAGAAACTATACTGTTTCATATTGTGTTGAAAATATGAACAAGTGCTCATTCGAAAATATTTGTTTGTTTTTAATATTACTTTATAAACTTTTTAATACTTAAGTATATTTTGATTAATTTAAATTATATATATATATATCTATATATATATAATCGTCCACTGCTACATTAAACGATAAAATATCATGTTATATCATGTTTTCGTATAAGTTACGAGGAAATTGAAATTTAATTATAAGAAATAATCTTTGTATTGCTTGATTTTCAATACAAAATAAAACGTAAGTTGCATTAGTCATAAATTGAATCCGAAATTCGTCGCTAAGCATATCACCTCTATAAAATTGACATTTTATTAAAAAAATCTTTCTGAAACAATGTGATGACAATTCTTTTTCTAGAAAAATTTCTATCCTTCTTTGATTTATGTTTTCTAATAAAGTATCTTCGATTGTTATTCTCAATCAAAAAATAAATGAAATAAATTCGAGTATATTTTATTTGATGGAGTATTTGTATGAAACATATCATTGCAGAAAGAGAAGAGGTTCTGATTTTTCTTTGAGTTCATTAAAATTACTTAATAAAAATTTCCAAAACACACTGTTTTTATGCCCTTGGAAATAACTATTTATAATATGAATTCAACAAGTTTTATAATTACTATATTTTTTATAGTTTTTTTAACTCCCTAAATTTTTTCTGAAAGCAGTTTGTAAGAAAAATAATATAAATAAACATTATTTTCATGTATTAAGAAGATCTGGAATAATAAGAATTGGCAAGAAGCAAGATGCTTTTAACTAATTTATTACCAAAAAGAAGGTATGCCCATCTCAGCCAAAATATTGTTATTTTACATAGTTGTACAATATTATTAAAAATAATCACATTTTAGAATGTATTTGTTTTAAAGTTGGATTGTAAAATTCAAAGAAATGTATTTGATCATTTTTTAAAATTACTGCGAGAGGAAAATATTAGGCACTATAATTTATACAATATGATAAAGTGGTTTTGCCTTTTTAATGCTTAAGTGCATCAGTACTCTATTGTTATAACGAATTCTTGCTTAATTACTTAAAATTAAAAGTAGTAAAAAAAGTAAATTTAATTTATGGAAAACAACTCCAAGAATCTTCTAATGTGGATTACATTTAATCTGTAATTAAAATAAAAAATCAGCATTCAGTAATGCCATTCACTGGAAATCTATTTATGTACCATGTTTTATATATTTTCTAGCTTTTAAACATATCCTGGGATTTTTTTTAAATTCTACTTTAGATTATTTTTATTAACACTTTAAGTAATGCATTACTTAGTATTCCAGGTTGCTTCTGCTTTTGGCAGTGAAAATGATAAAGGTTTTCTACACGTGCATTGATTGCTGTCAGTTTAATTTTTTTAAAACTTATTTTACAAATTTCATTATTTTTTTAATTGGCTCAAACTTCTCAGCAAAATATTCGAAGTAATTATTGCATACAATCCCTTTGGACTTCAGTTTATGTTTATGTTGCATAAATAATAATTATATTACCATGAAGTTATTACTGCATTTTATGTCAATATTTTCGCACTAGAAAAATGAACGAAAACACATGTGTTAAAAAATAATAATTTCATTCAAATTTTTTTTCTCGATACATTTTACTTAGTTTAAAAATAAGAATACTATGTGAACATTTTACTGTCGGAAATAATATATAACATGTACTTTTAGATGCAACATTTTACAGTTAAAAATTCAATTTATTAAAATAAAACATAAACATATATTTTAAGTTATCTAGCACTTTTAAAAATTACAAATTACAATAACTTATAAAATATGGTTTAAGAAATGATGAAAATATAAAAATATTCAAAGGATTTGCCTTATTTGAGGTTAAATGCAACTTCATTCTTCAATGCATTATTTAAAAATAGAAAAAGGATGTTTTAATTCGAAAGCAATTGTTTTCATACATAATGTACACTTGAAACAAAATATTTATGAGAATCCAAGTATATGAACATTAATTTTAGGCAATTGTTTTAATTACTTTTTAAAAATATAATCTAAAACACAATGACTGAAAAATAGATAAGAATTAAAATTCTATGATAAAGAGAATTTCCAATTTATATCTATGAAATTAAATTCATTATTCTTGTATTACGTAAAGGTATTATGTAATTTATTTTGAATGATTTGCATAAATTTAAATTAATGTAGTTTTTATACTTTAGCACATTATTTGAAAAAAAAAACGAAATGTTATGAGTTGCTACTTTAAAAAAGGTGAACATTTGAATGCAGTTTTTTTTAGAAATCTCCAATTTGAATTATTTTGTGTGTCTTTATTCAAATCGTATTTATACATTGAGACATGACTGCAAGACACGTTAAAGCTCAAAATTGTATGTACATATGAAAGCAAATGAACGAAATTGATTTGATTCCTAAAACCTATAAATTTTTGTTATCAAATGATATAAATAAAAATGAGTACTTCAATTTAACATATATATTTGTTTAAAAACTGCATTTAAATAAATCTGTTGAATGTGATTTAATAACTGTTATTTATTCGTATATAAAAAATGTTATGAGCTTTATGTCATTGAATATGGACGTTTCTGTTGGTGTACAAATGTTGTTGTAACTAATAAATTTTTCATATAAGTTGTAAGCATGGTTTAAAGTTTAAAAATACGCAAACTGTGGTGCCAGAAAAAGTTAAATGTGACATAGTATCAGAGACACTAAATGAGGACGTAAGTGTTGTTGCTAAGTAAGCGTATTTTTGAAAGTATTAAAGAATGTATTTTGGAACAAATATGCATTTGTATCTTGTCTAAGTGTATAAAATAAAATTCTGTTTTTATACTGCTGTATTTTTTAATGTTTGAAACTGTAGATAAAAAAATAATTAATGTAAAAAATTCATATTTTGTTTTCTCGATTTAATGTAAAGATATCGCATTATTTCCCTTTTTCCATAATGTACTTGCCTTTTATAGGATTTTAGAATCATATAATAGGTGAAAAAAATATTAAGAATATTTTCAAGCTGAATTTTAAATAACTAAGAGAAACTAATAGACATTTATACATTACATTAGGACACGACCGAGTCACACACGAAAACTGAACAATTTAGAAAAATAAGCCTAACAATTACTCTCAACTTTTACGTGTCTTTGCATTTTCAGTACGCTTTTGGAGATAATTTAATGCATATCATTAGGAGGTAGTATGTACTGTTGGAAATTTTGGAATGATATAATTATTCGAATTTACTGCAACCTTTTATAGGGCCAAACTGAACCAAACTATCGAATATTAACATTGAATTGGCCATTGGCTGTAACATTGGCTACTACTGTTACAAGATAAAAGTGAAATTAGTTAAGAATGTAAGGTATTTTCTTGTAGGAGGGTATGGTATTTTCTAGAATTTATATGCTTGCATTCCTGAAACATTAAAAGCATTATATTTTTCAACAGAGCAAGACGCTCAGTGTAATGCATTTACAACTTGCAAAACGATAACATAGAAGCCAATATAATTTTAAATGTTATGATTGGATTTGCTTGCAGTATGCGTGCATATTCATAATTCCATATGATTTTTATTGATAATTTGGTCAATAAAAAGATAAAAAGAACTGAACTCATAATTCAGTTTAAGTGCTGATTACTTTGTTTTTTTTCCATCTTGAAATTTCTAATAGGAGAAATCTATACATCCTGAATGCATTTAAACTGTTCGCACCTTTTCTTAGCTTTTACTCTCTAGGAGTTTTAGAATGCTAGACATGTTTGAATCTGCATCTGACCATTTAGACTTTCCTAAAAAATTTTACTAACAACCTTCCTCAACTCAGCTTTTACAGCATTTTTTTTAAAATTGCGTTTTTGCTTGTTGTGTTATCTGGAAATTGAGGCACTGTCTCTGAAAGTTCATCATAACACTTTATGCATTACACCAGATAAAATATAATATGCTTATCTTAAGACTGCCTTTCCAAACATCCAATAAGCAACTGGAAGCAGATATTATCTCCCTCCTTACCTTCGAAGCTTACTGAAGCGTTGTTAGAAAGTTATTAAAACCTTTTATAAAGGTACATAAGTCACTCTTTATCTGAAATATTTTTAAAATTTCCTAAAAGATCTTTGAAGTCGCAAATGTTACTTTAATGCAATAAATGTTACGTCTTTTATCATTTCAGTATATAGAAATGTATGATCCTTTACAAAGTTTAGCTATCTAGATTTTTGAAAAGATTATGCATTTTAAAACCTCCTTCTAACACCAAGAATAAAAACAATTTTTCTCTTATGATATCTTAGAAAATGGTGATATTATTATCAAGAGCTTATAATTTTCAGGACGCATTTGAAAACATAAAGCGTTATACGCTGATATATCTGTATGCAACGCTTTAATAACTTGTAAATGGATCAATTTATTAGTAGTACCATTATGAAGGAAATTATTTTATAAAATAAGTACAAAGACATGCTTATGCGTAACATATTGAATGATTAATTTACACTGCTTTTATTTGTCAGACAATGTTAATGTTTACATGAAAAATCGCAAAAGGTAATCGATTATTATAAGGCTAAATGATAAATTTAAAATATGTTCAAAACATGTAGTTTGAATTAGCAGTATATATTTAATTACTGGAAAAATCCCAGTAAAAATAAGAAATCTGAATTAATTCAGACCTTTGAAAGTACTAAAAAGATTTACTTAAATTTTTAAACAATCGTGAAACCTCTTCCAAATCATGAATAGCACGCCGTTTAGTTTATTAGATTCACGCAAAAAAGTAATTTATTAAATGCACGCAAAAAGGATAAAAAGGCTTTTAGAAAAAAAGGCTTTTTTTTCTCCCCTAACATTATACTTCAAGCTGTAAAAAGATAAAGCCATTTTACTGTAAGTACGTCTCCATACTCTAGAAATCATCAAAAATAATTGCATTGTTTGAAGTGCTAAATTATTTCAAATGTGTTTAAGAAAACTTATTATAAATTTACATTAATCAATTCAGATATCTTAAAAAAATTCTTGAACCTAATTTTAAATTAAAAACTTTTATTTAATCATCTTGCTTTTAAAATAATTATTAATATTTAAAGCCGATTATAGAGAAGTTATTTAGATTCAATACAAAAAACTAAAACATAGAACAAAATGTAGAAACATTTTAAAGAAAGCTTAAATTTAATACTGATAACTAATTAACTTTTATATCAGAAACTTAAATGCTAATTTTCGATTATTTTATTAATGGAATCTTAACATGCAATAAAAGTACCATCCAAATAACAATGTATGAAATATAATTTCAGTAACATTCCTTAGTAAAAGCTTCATGTTAATAATTCCTTAACAATCATAGTTTTTTTTGTGAATCACATGAAACTTAATTAATCAGATATTTCCGACAGTTTAAGTATAATTTTTTTTTTGTTATTTCACTTGCGTAATTTCTTGAAGTCAATTAAATAAAAAGAATATTTTTAAATGAAAATAAATCCTAAACATGTTTTACATTTTTGATTTAGTTTAATAACGGAAGCTAATTAAATTGTATTGTCTCAATGAAAGATAAATATTGCCTTCTATGTATAACATTATAACATAACTGAGAACTGTGCGAAACGATAATTAAACATACTCAGAAATTTACTTCAATTTATCATCGAAGTTTGAGCTTGCACCATCAATCTTTCTCAGGAATTTAACAGAATTTTTTAATTTAAAAATATTTTTTTTAAAAATTTAGTTTTCGGAAAAACTTATAATTAATATAGACCTAGATTTTGATCAAAATAAACTAAGCTATTGAGTTGACAATTTTATTTTTGGTTATTGTACCAAAAACATTTTAACTGTTATTATTTTTTTAATTGATACTCAAAACTAGAGTTTTTGTAATTCTCATCGTTAACGAATATTTTAGAATGTATCTTGTTGGAAATATATGAAACAGTATAGTAGATATATTTAAATCTAGGAAATTCATATTAATCAAGATTACTAAATTTTGCAAACATTATCAGCATAGTGTACAAAAAAAATAAATCCTAAATTTGAAAAATATCATACCATACCACAAGCAAATAATTAACAAAAAATAAGTTTTTGTCACCTTATTAAAACTTAGATTCACTTAAAATAATTAGTTTCTTATTATTATTCTAAATAACGACCTATACGAGGAATAAATTTAAAATCAAGATAAATTTTGCCTTACGATAATTTTGTCTTTTTATAAATTCAGTTACGAATAAAACACTAACTTAACACAGAGAGATAGAATGGGAGTGAAAGATTATGCTCTTTCGCCCATTACATTGAAACTTTACTAAGTACCGTGTTAATTACTAAACTCTATTAATTCTATATTTAATATCATAGTTAAAATTTGTATTCACTACCTTTCTCTAGAGTTACCAATTATTCTTAGCTTTAAATAACCCCCTTATGTATTTTAAATGCTTTAATATAAGTAAGAATTGGGTTTTTATGGAATACAAACTAACGATTAAACCGACAATTCCCCTTACACTCATGAAAAAAGCTTGGACAAAACTAATTGAATACGGTATAATGAATCCTGTTTAATTGAAATACTGAAAAGCACGGTTATCTGTCTCGATTGAAAATACCAAAAAAGCTTGGCAATTGTTTTACAGAAGCGCTTTGTTGCTGATTTTGTTAAAATTAAAAATAAAATTCTTATAATATGTAATAAAATTTAATTACCTCTTCTTGGTACCTTAGAGAATGGCATAATTACCATTTAATTGGTTAAATTTATATTTTCACCAAATTTAGATTTTTATATTTTATTTTGTATTATTAACTAGGTGTGCAGTAATAAGAACTATAATTTAAAAAAAAAACAACATAATTTCCATTAAACCATTCTCATATGACTTGGAAAAATTATGAAATGAATGTTTTAAATACCGTATGCCTTTGTTTTATTATCAGGATCTTTATTTTTTTGACAGAAATGTCAATGCCATGCGAAATCATAATATTACCAAAATTATTTAATCCCCAGTAGTCGTTACCAAAAGTCTCTTGAATTGGTATTTTTTCGAATTGAATTTCGAAGCTATATATTTCTTATAACTTCGTTCATTATTATTTTAGAGCTTATTTACGTTGGAAATATCTCAAACAATAAAAGGCATCATTTTATATTCTGGAAAGTTCATCTCAATCAAGAGTACTAAACTTACTCTCCATTATTTATATGGCTTCCAAAAAATACTTCAATCTTAAAAATATTCTTCTACCTATCAAACAAGTAATAAAAAAAACTAGTTTTCTCCATCTTCTTAAAGCTTAGAGTCATTTTATAAAACAAATGGTATCCTCTTATTGTCCTAAATTGCGTCCTAAAGGAGAAATAAAGTTAAAATTGAGATAACTTTTTTCCCTCCGAAATAGAATTGAATAAGCTTGAGAAAAAGAATTTCTTTAAATGTTAAATTAATCGCTTGCTTTAAGGAAATATTTTATGCTATTGACTTGAATTCCCAGCAGTCTCGCACTATTTCTTTCCCTCGGAGCAAATAAAGATTCCAAATTTGTTCAGAATTCGAAGTGTGGATCAGATGTGGAATATATGCTTATTCACAGGCACCAAAAATAAAATAGTTTCTTTTTTTTTAAATTTATTTTGTGTGTGCTTTCATTTTCGCTAACTTCAATGCTTTCTTTGTATTTAGCTTGCCTAAAGGAACTACTAGGTGATCTTAAAAAAGATTATTTTTCTCATTTATTATTAAAGTAAGTCTAGGCATATGAAAGAGTTTAGTTATTATTTGTTATGAAACATTATTATAAT